TGAAATTCTTCCTTACGTTTCTTGAATTTACAGATCTCAGTTTTGACAATTGACTCAGTAAGAAATGAATACTAATAATAAGTGAGTTTGAGTGCAGTTCTGCCTAAACCTAACCTTATTTTTTTTAATGATCATATTTACATGATTTTACTGTTCTCAAAAATGTACATTATCTAACAGAGTGGCAACATACCTGGACTCCAACTGGTTTTGACATTTTCAATAGTTCATACTGTATCTTTGTTTTTGTACACTATAAATTAGGTATTGTGACAGAGTCTTTCACATCCTCATTGCATAACTTCTGGTGAGATCTCTATCATAAACTCTTATTTATGAATTAACTTTTCGAGATGTAGAGTGTTGTCTCCTCTCCGCACCACCATTTTGTGTTGGGTTACAGAATCTACTGTAACTCACCTTTTGTTCAAATGTAGTCTTACCTGTCCATCAAGAGGAGTTGGGTGTGGAGCTGAGAGTATTTGACCTGATACTCATAGTGTAGCAAATAGTCTAGTACAGTATTGTCTTAATATTTGGGATGACAGCATCTGTATCTGTACCCATATGCTGTTGCTATGTATGGAGTTATAGTTTGCCAGCCTTGAAAATTGTCAGTAGGAAGTTCTCTGGAGAAGCTGCAGTTTATTATCTTTATTAAATGCTTTGTCTTTTCTACCCTGAACATAGTTTTCCCTTGCACAAGAGCACTTAGCAAACAGACTCTTTTTGTGGTTCGTTTTTGTTCCTGGCCTGCATTATTATGATTCCCATGACCACACCTGGACTAGCTGTCAGTTTGTTTAGACACTAGCTGTATGCATAAAACTAGCAATATACTGTATATTTGCAATTAAATTACATTAATCACAATTGGTAGAGCAACAAGCAATTTCTTAGAGAAATTAACCAATTACAGCTAAAACACAGAAGAATATGTTTTGGAAACCCTCTGCTTGTTTCTTAAGCAAAAACAAGTATCTAAAGATGGACACACAAATGTCCCAAAACAGTGAGATCTGGCCACTATGAATAATATTAGTGTCCATCCTCCATGTCATCAAAGGCCATGCCTGCTTGTTACACTACAAGAATACAGAGTTAAGAACACAGACTATGATGCACATTGCACAATATTTTTGAGAAACAACTTGTACGTCTTACTGGAAATAAAACAGGAAAATGATTGCTAATTGTAAAATTAGAAAGAAAGTTAATGTGATGTTTTGGCTGTTCTTGCAATACGGTAGCTCATTATGCTGGTACATGTTTCAAGCGCACCCACCTACCCAACTTCAGGTCCTGAATTCCAGAGCAGCACTGAGGCTTGAGAGAGGTCTCAGAACTTCCCAGCCATATTCCAAAATTCTCACCTTTACTTGTATATATTGATAATCATTTTCAATACAGCCCCATAATGTTAAAACAAGAACGTTTGGTACACAGTATTACACAGACAGATGATGTGAAAATGAACAAAGACACAATAGTGAAATGTATTCATTCTTTATTTATTGGAAGTTACAAAGCTTCTTAAAGCATGCTATATGGACAGAACACATTGCATAAATATCAAGCTAAATGTAGCTTCGTAAACTGCCTCCTTTTTTTAGATTTTACTGCAGGTCTGCTGTCAGTTAGTGGTACAAAAATCCATCCATGCAGCACTGCTTTGGAATTAAATAAATATAAGGAATGAAGGGATTGAAAGCAGTAGGAAACACCTCAAGAGCTGATCGATGTGAAATTGAGACAGCTTGATTATGCGATAAAGCATGTCTTCTGTAATGTTTAGAATTGTTATTGATTTAACCGCAGAGGGATACAAATGAATTATGAATTAGTTCTGTTTATTAAAACCAAAATGCTGTACAATTCAGTCCAAGCATGGAAAGCTACTGTAACTCTTTCTAAGTAGCAGTTCTGCTGTATTTTGTGGGATGATAAACTTTCAGCACTTATTCAATCTTTGAAAATTCAAAAGAAAATAATTTTGTCTGAGAGATAAGAAGATCAATTTTTTTTTCCTCAGTCTTTTTATGCAACATTTTGACATATTTTGTGTACTGCATGTCTTATTTCTTGATTAAACATAATCGAAGTATAAATAATATCCCAAAATCTCATCTATCCACAATTTTGTTTTTGCTTATGATATTTAATTTTCTGCACTGTATTTTTGTTGTAAATTGAATAATTAATTTAAGAAAATGAAAAATATTTGACATTAATAAAGGAAATAAGCATCATTGTTTGTCACTAATCTATATACTCTATAAGCGTCTGTATTTCAGTGACTGCTAATAGGTAAGCAGCAATAATGCTGTATCAGGAACATCAAGGTGCCTCAACTAATGAACATTCTGTACTGTTTGTGAGAAGAATCTGAGCATTATAGACCAGAAGTTGTGATCCAGGTCTTGGTTATGTCATGCTGACTGTGGGATTTGCCTAGCAATAGCAGTCTCTTTTCAAAAGCAGAAAACATATGTGGCAAATGAAAGAAAGTCCTTTAGTCATCTAGTTTGTTTGATTTTTAGTAACTAATTTGAGAGTCTCGTTCAGCCATTCCCTAAAAAAAAGCCATGAAATTGACTTCAGCAGTTTGTTCCCAATATCCACTACCCTTTGAATAAAGACTTACCCCCCCTTTCCCTATTTTAAATGCCCTTTCCCCTAGGTTTTAGTTGTGCACTCTGGTTCATGTTGCAATGTGATTCTGGGGAAGT